CTGCAACTTATCTCTAAAGTTATATACCTGTCACCGATTAGCGTTAATTATAGTGATTATTATAATTTAAAACAAAAATTTTATTATATTAATAAATAAAAAAGTATATTAATGCGATTAATTTGATAAAAAAATTATTAACTATCACAATAATAATACATTAGTAAATATAATAAAATTTATTAATTATTACAATAACTTTTACATATAAAAAATTACTAATTATCATAATTAATTTAAAAAATTTAATTAAAACATATATTACAAGATATAAATATATATACCTGCCGCACATGAACGTTGTCTCCCGGATTCTTTTCCTTCAGCGCGGCCATAATTTTTTTCGGGGCCACCTGAGCGTCCGTCATGTCACGAACAATTCTCTTAGATGAAGCGCTGAGACCGCTCAACTGGCTATGACCCTCAGGATACACAGCAAATGCATGGTTATGGTAGCCTTTCTCTTCATTGCTACATCTACAGATTCTCCAGTATGGAACGCCGGACACCTTTTTTACTTTGATCTCAAAACTGCAGCCGCACATATTCGTTTTTGTCCTTCTAGAATTTCCGCCTGTGCCTCTGTACCGTTCGCCTCTATGGCACTTCAAAAGTCTGACCGTTTTCTTTTTGTGGCTCGAAATAATTAATAAGAAACCATTCAGCATTGCCTGGTGTTTTGCAGCTTCAATAGCCTCCTGAGCACTATTATAGAATGAACATGTATCGAAACGCAGACTGTAATCAACACCATCTCCTCCAAAATCTTTCCATGACTCCTGCTATATAGTACAATATTTATATTTTTAGAACATGTTAAATTAAGATAATTAATTCTACGATGTAACATAATAATTTGTGACTCGTAACATGATATTATCTAACGTTCAATGAACATAATTTGTAACTCCTAACACGATCACGATAATATCTAACGTCCAATTTATATTATAATAAATATGTAACACAATAATTTGTAACTCTTAACACGATACTATCTAACGTCAATTTATAACATAACTAAAACTAATATGTAATATAATAATTTTTAACTCGTAACACGATAATATCTAAACGTCCAATTTATATTATAATCAACATGTAACATAATAATTTGTAACTCCTTACACGATAAACGTCCAATTTATAGCATAATCAAGTCTAAAATGTAACATAATAATTTATAACATAATAATATAGTCCAATTTATAACATAACTATTTCGAATAAATAACATAAAAATAAAAATAAAAAAAAAATGCCGGCCGGCCGGCCGGCCGTACCGGACGGACCGGTTCCGGCCGGACGTCGTTTTCGGACGGCTTAAAAACCGTCCGGTTCCGGCGGCCGGACAGGCTAAAAGCCGTCCGGAACCGGCGGCCGAACACCTATTTTTTCGTACCTCCGAATTTGACGACATTTCACCGTACACTTTCCTCTGAGATGTTTAGAAAAAATGAGAAGGGCAAAATTGTCCAAGGGGGGCGGTGACTAGTAAAATGGGGGGCGGTGAATAGTAACACCTTTTTTTTTCATTTTTTTCTATTATTTTTTCAAAAAAATAACGGACCCGGCCCGGGCCGGACACGAACCCGGCACGAGTATAGGTCCATGCCAGTTCAGTGTTTTGTAGTATTTTGAGGGTAGTTGGTGACCGAGCTACCCGACCTCGAGTCGTTCTCAAAGGAAGACGGTTCGGAGCTTCGTTTACCACTCAATTATCCAAATCACACAAATTGAGAAAATAAAAGCTAAACATGCTAATCAATTTAGATTGGGGATGAATTAACACTAATTGCACTAGGAATTAAAAGCAACAAGCAACGAGAGAATAACGCAATTAACACTACCAAAGTCTCTAAGCCATCAACATCAAACAAAATCAACAACGAGAAATATGCAAGTTCTAACACTAGATCACTAATCCCAACCTTCTAACCTAAGTGATTAAGCTCTAAATAGAGTCCTAACCCTTAATCTAGATAGGCAAGCAAATAGTCTTTACTAAACAAACATGAGCAATGATCAAGTCCAAGCATATACTCCATCATCAAGCAAACACTCAAATTCACCTTGAAAAAATCCATAAGTAAAAACGAGGCAAAAATTGAAGTAATGAGCTTTAAAAGTAAATACCCAATCTTATATTGCGTGCTAGACGAAAATCGGAGTCAAAAGTTCGGAACTGGAACAAAATAAAACTCGCCGGAAAATGATGTCATAGAGCTCCCAAGAGAGAGAAGAGAGAAAACTAAAAAGAAAAGCTTAATTCCTGAAGTAGAAAAGTTACAAATGAAATGTAGATGGCCAAAATACAAAGGGCCAAAATGTATTTATAGTGCATCTCAAAACACACACTAGTTTCATGCACATTAAATGAAAAACACTCTCGAGCTGGAGGAAATTTCCGCTGGTCGCGGACACGGATGGCACGGGGTGCGGCACGAGGTAGGCGCGAGGTAAGCTTGGTTCGGCACGAGGAAGAGCAATGCTCTCGAGCTGGCGGGAGTTACTCGCGCGCGCGGACGGTGCTGGGCAGCGACACTCTCGACCTGACGGGTGTCTTCGCGAGACGCGGGCTTCTAGGGCTGGGGCATCGTGCGTCCGCGAGGCGCGGGAGTCAGCGAAGGCGCGAGTACGGTTGGCTTGGACTATTGAATTGACTTTGCTCGAATTTCTCGGAATGGAAATGGTTCGTACGAATTGGCTACGTCGCGGGATTCTTTCGAAAATGCTCGTCTCTCGGAGCTCGGTTCGACTCTTCTCAACAACCTCGAAAATAAATCTGAAAATACACCCAAGAGCACGGAAAAGTACGCCAAAAATAGAATAAAGAGAAAGACAAATAAAATACAAGAAACACGATAAAATGGACTGGATGACACTAAAACGAACCTAAAAAGACTAAACTAAAACACATAAAACACACGAAAATAAGCACAAAAACATAATAAACAACTCCCCCACACTTAGCTTTTTGCTTGTCCTCAAGTAAACAAAATAACAAGTAACTCGAAAAGAAATGTCGAATGGTCCAAGGTTAACAATCATGCGAATATGAGACTCTCCTTATCATCCGGTAAGCCAACGATGCAGTGCTCGTAATAAATGCAGGATTGATATCACCAGTTCGATCACCCTTTTAATCCAACCGTTACTAATTTTGACTTGTCTTCTCACCTGCCACCTTCGATCTTGACCGTCGAATCCAACCATGATCTAATGGCAGGGATGATCGACCCCTTGAAATTCACATCCCCCTTGCCTATAAAAGCGAGCCTTAGTCACATTCTTTCAGTTTTCCACCTTTGCTGAAGAATCTCTATTATACAACTATTTCTCTCTATTGCTTTCTACAAATATTATCGCTCGAGTTTCTCGTTGTTGCTTCGTCGTCATCTACCGGTATTCACAGCTTTTCTGATCAACCAAGCTATCATGTCGATGAGTAAGTCTTCTATCCTTTTAATTTATTTTTGCATGCGCGATTTTTTTTATTACTTATCCTCCCACCCGACTTCAAAATTCAAGATCCTCTTTCCTCCACCTTTTCTTTCAATTCATAAAAAATTACTTTTTTTTAGAGTATGCTACTTCATTTAAGGCCTACCTATATTTTAGCGATGGTATGAGCTCTTCATCCTCCTCATCGACCCCTACACCCCATTTTACTCCTCCTTTCCCCTCCGTGGAGTCCATTCCTTAACCAATTTCTTTATCCTCCCGACTTCTCCATCTTCTTCGACCTCACCATCTACTTCTCGACCTGTCCAGTCTTCTCCAGTGATCTGCCGCTCACGTGAACCTTTCAAGTTGGTCGATAAGCTCGAAACTGAAGACGAAGAGGAAGTGGAGTCTTCTCGTCTGTCTGACTGAATGACCAACTCCATTTTTATGGGTCGACGTATTCCTGGCACCACTCTTAACACGACCCAATACCTGGAGAACATTGCTCGCATACCCAACACCTCCCATAACGTAAGGCCAGATTGGCTTGACAACTCCCTGGCCAACTGCCACCGACCCGTTGAGTTGCGCTACGTGTCGCCTCAACCTCTAGACACGTTCGCGCATCCCCCAATCGACTGTTATTCCTTCTTCCGCGACCAGATGGTGGTAGGTCTTAGGTTTCTTCCCATCCAAACTTTGTTGGACCTATGAATAAATTACGAGCTCCCTATCAACAAACTGTCACCCAACTCGATATGTCATTTAGTTATTGTTTTCGATCTTTCCTAGTGTAGACTGGGATGGTATGAAGAAGATTGGATAAAAATATAACGTGGTTAACAGGATTGCTTGGCAACAAGATTTGGCAGTCCGCCCAAGCACTCGGGCAGTAGGATTGGGAAGTCTTGGCACTAGGGCAGCAAGATCGCAAAGATCTTGGACACCAAGGTAATGAATCTATATTACGGGCCGGGTGAGGTATCATCATCATTGTCTCTCTACTATCTGAATATTCGAAGTTATCATATGTAGTACATACATCACTCCTAAATACTGACTTGAGCATTGAAACTTCTACGCCAGGACAAGATCTGACACTATTTTGTAGGTTATTTTGACGGTTCAAAGAACGTCAGACCGGATTGAGGTTGACTACACACTATAGTGCCCAATTGTATTCCTAAATTTTAATACTAAGGATGATAATTGAAGACAGTGAACGATATGGACAGGTGGGGTGGTACCACTACCACATGATAGAAAGAGTACTACACGTTTTAAAAATTGTTGATGTGCGAGTAGGTATTCTTCCATCTCAAATTATTGTACTACAAAGATTTTTGGTTTCTTATATTTAAAATTTGAAAAAAATAAAATAGAAGAGTTTAATTTCCTGGTTTCATACGTAAGTGCAGCTGATAATTAAGGTAAGCACAGTGTGGCCTATAAAAGGAGACAAGGGCTTTCCTCTACAATTCACACCCCAATAGCCACATACCGATACATATCTGTTATCTATCCATCTGTCCAATAATATCACACAAACGAAAATGAAGAACACTACTCGTCATTTGATCTCCCTCGCCTGCTTCCTCCTCGTTTCATTAACCGCTGCCCAAGCTCCCCCACGCGCCCCGATCCTCGACACCTCCGGACAAGAGCTGCTCACGGGAGCCCAATACTACATCAGGTCCCCCTTCTGGGGTGCCGGCGAAGGCGACGTCAACGTGGACAACAACTCCTCGTGCCCTCTCGACCTCGTCCTGGCCTCAAGAACACTTGCCGGGCCTGGCCTCCCCGTGGCCTTCCACCTGCCCCACGAGTCGGAATCCGGGCGCCCCATCCGCACCTTCACTGATGTCAGCATCCAGTTCTCGACGGCCTCCGCCGACACGGCGTGCAACGACGGCGGCGTGTGGACGGTCCGATTCCAGGCACTCCTCCGAGGCTTCGGCGTCACGACGGGGGGAAGCCTGGGGGCCGTGGACAGCCTGTTCACGATCGAGCCGGCAGAGATATTCCATCGCATCAGGTACTGCCCCAGGTTTTCGAGCATGGGCGTATGTGGGCCCCTGACCACCTCATTTCAACGCCGCCTGAGCGTGGCCCTGTCCGAGGCTGAGGGGTCATTGAGTGTGGTGTTCGAGAGAGTTGAAGCTGATGATGACATCGCCAAGATTAAGATGAAT